CCTTAGAAAATCAGTGATTTCACAGGGGCAAAAAGCAAGAACAAGCTACACAGGCTCATGCACCAGGACCTGATGGGCTGCCTGTCTCTTGAAGGCTCACCTGAAAGGTGTTTTACATAAAGACAGGACTGAACTGGAGGATAATTCCCATCCCTGGAAGTGGCCTGGAGCAGCCTGGGATGGTGGAAGGTGTCCCATGGCAGGGGATGGAATGAGCTGAGCTTTAAGGTTCCTTCTAACCCAAACCATTCTGGGATTCTGGTATTCTAATTGGTATCTCAGGCTGATCTAAAATATCTCTGGGCTTGAGCCTTTGAAACTCAGTCAAACCAAAAGCAAAGGCCATAAATCACAGCTTGGGATGATCAGGTTGGACATTGGCAGAAGTTCTCTCCCCAGGAGGGTGGTGCAGATCTGGGACCATGGGGAGAGCTCTGCCTTTGGGGATAACCAATAACTGTCCACCCAAAGCCATGACCCCCTTCATGCAGTGCTGGCAGCAGCCCTGCCACAGGTGGAAAGCTGGATGAGAAATCTGAGATGCTACAATCTGAGATGCTCCTGCCTTTTATTTTTATTTTGGAAAAAACAAGGAAGTGGAGTGTCAAACTCTTGYTGAAGTTCAAGACCAGCTTGGATGGGGCTGGAGCAACCTGGGCTAGTSGAAGGTGTCCCTGCCCTTGGCAGGGGGGGGTGGACTGGATAATCTTTCAAATCCCTTCCAACCCAAAGCATTCTGGGATTCTATTATAAACAAACACTCAGAACTYTGAAGCTCTTGAAAGTTCATTCCAGCCCTTTGAGGTAATTTCTGCACTTTCCCAGGTTCTGGTTTCACAGACAATAACTCYTGACTGCAGCAGGGCCCAGCTGAGCAGCACGAGAGAGAACAGGAGRAGCCACCAGAGCAGTGTGGGCTCTGCTGTGCCTCCCTCTCAGGGAGGGAGCCAGACACATCCTCTGAAGCTCAGTGAAAGTGAGAAGATGAAAGCAGAGCTCCCCGTGCCCCAGGCAGTACAACTCTGTGTCCCTGTCTCGCCAGCAGCACCAATGTCACAAGCACACACAGCCTGGAGGGGCTGGGACATGATCTGYTCCTGCCCACCCTCCTGCCCGATCCCACCGTGCCCCTGCTGCCTCCTGGACCATGGCTGCAAGGGAATGTTTGTGCTTGAATTGAGGGAAAATCCTCCTTTCTGGGATCTGTCCCACCTGTGCTCCATTGCTCAGGGCTGCACATCCCTCCAGGCTTGTAACAGAGCCAGGCTGGGCTCAGGACACCCCAGCAGGGCAGGGCCATGGCCCAAGTCCTTSCTTTGGATGGTCACCTGTCCTTGAGCTCACAGCCCTGCCCAAAACACCCTGCATGGCTGGGACCCAGCCTGGGCTGTGACACCCACCCAAATTCCAACCCTCCTGATGCCTTCCACGGGAGCTGTGAGCTGCACATCATCCCGGCCAAGGGACCCAGAGAATCATGGAARATTGGAAAWGACCTCCAAGATCATCAAATCTGACCTGTGACTGAATGCCACCACATCCACTAACCCCTATCAGCACGTGGTGACAGACTGCTGCAAAATGCCACCAGAACAATAATGTAAACAATCATAGCAAGTTTTCTGGATCTGCAGAGAGGGAGAAATCATCCTGATGGGTTTATCAGGACAGTGGATTGGTTTCCTCCACCACACACTGCTGGCTCCATCTGTGTGGACTGTTTATGGCTCTCAGTGGTTCTGTTTGCAGCCAAGAGCCTCTGACACAGCACTAATCCTCCCTCCTGATCCCCAGTGACAAGAGCTGCTCACAAAAGGGACACATTCCCAAAAACCTGGATGCTCTCTTTACTCCATCACTGGGAGGTCCTGAATTTGCCTCTGGATATTCCAGATTCCAAGGTTTCCTCCCTCCTCAGGTCACAGAAGCCACAGTCAAAAAGCAGTGCCCTTCCCATGTGCTGTTAACTCATCCCTGCCCACAGCCCTTTCTGAGAGGAGAGGGAGAGGAGTGGGAGAGGGAGAGGGGAGGACACAGCCTGAGCTCAGAAGTGACAGAAGGTGTTTTCCCAGGAAGGCACTTGGATCACRTTCATGGGGGTCCAGTTTGCTGGAAGGGGTCGTGGCCATGGGATGATGGTGACCAAACCATCACCCACCCCGTGCTACCCCCGTACCACACTCAGGACCTCCCTTCTGGCTGCTCTGTTGTTTTCTTACTCTCACAGGAGATTTTTCCTGGGATCATAGAATGGTTGGGATGGGAAGGGACCTTAAAGGTCATCTCCCCCTGCCATGGGCAGGGACATCTTCCAYTGTCCCAGGGTGCCCCAATGTCCWRCCTGGCCTGGGACACTGCCAGGGATCCAGGRGCAGCCACAGCTTCTCTGGGCACCCTGTGCCAGGGCMTCCCCACMCTCMCAGGGAACAATTCCTTCCCAATATCCCATYTAACCCTGCCCTSTGKCAKTGGGAAGCCCTTCCCTGTGTCCTGTCCCTCCATGTCCTTACAAACATGGATGTGAAGAACTTGTGGCACCTGAAGGCTCTGGGTGCTGCTCGTGACGGGGCATCTCTCTCTCCCCAGCAGTCACCATGTGTCCTGGGGGAACCAGGGGGCTTTTCCTTGCTTCCTGCAGGGCTGGAGGAGCCCGAGGGGTGGTGCTTTGTCCAGCTSTGGCAGGAGCACGACCCCATGGACCCCATCCCACATTCAGCGATGGAGTCCCAGCTGGCTGCCCCACCCAGAGCCAAGGCAGGGGGAGGGGGCTCATCCTCCCTCTGCTCCCTCTCCTCTCCCCCAGCACCCTCCATTCTCCTGTCCCAGCTCTGCCTTTGTGTCTGCAGCTTCTGTTACCAACTGCTAATGATCTACATCAAGGCTGCCAGGCGGTGCCGAGTGTAAGCAGAAGAATTCAGAGCCTCTAATTACAGAGGAATTAGCGAGCAGACAGTTAGTGTTTAGTGCTAATGAATAGATACATTAAGAGAGACATCACACAGGCTGAGAAGTGTGAGCCCTGATAATAAAGGAGTGTCAAACCAGGAAAACACAAGGAGGAGGATCCAGGGGACTGAAAAGGATTCGCCTTCGACTCAGCTCTCTGGCTGTGCTCAGGTGGGAGCAGCCACGGGTAATACACCAAGGTTCAAGCACAGCAGAGAAAAGCAAGTGCAAAATGTGAGCATTGAATGATTCATCCATCGTGCAGGACCACGGAGGAAGGGGGCACAGCCCCATCCCAGCTCCAGGCAGCATCACAGACACCCCATCTCCATCAGGTAAAGAGAGGGAAGACCCCCTCTCCTCTCTGAGGGCAGACCTGGCCTKGCTTGGAGCTTCAAAAACACCCTGACCCCGCTTCCGAGCTGACTCCAGAGCAGAGGTCACCATCATGGCTCACCCAGATATTTTTGCAGGTTTTCCCAACCAAATGCTCTGGAAGTGATGCCCAGGTGATGCCCACCTTTTACCCCAGGGGCTGGCCCCTACAGCCAGAACACACCATGGTCTCCAGGCAAATGCAGCCCTGGAGGCCAGGGAATGCCCAGGGCAGGTTCAGAGTGCCCAGGGCAGGTTCAGAGTGCCCAGAGCCTCTCCTGCTCTCACTCAGGTCTGTGCCTCTCTGGCATCCTTCCACCTCAACCCCATCAAGCCAAGCCCAGCCCCGGTGTGTGCCCAGCTCCAGATGGCTTCCAGGTGGGCAGGGGAGGCAGCCCCTGGCCAGCAGCTCCATGGGCTCCGTGCCACCAGCACAGCTGCCAGGGGCTGCTGGGGACCCTCCTGGGAGCAGCACTGCCAGCCCCCCTGAGCACCCCTTCCCCCAGCAAAGCCACCCTGCACAGAGCTGGAGATCCCAAACAAAACCCTGCCCGCTCTGTGCTTCAGCTGCTTCACCAAGCGACCCTGTCGTGGCACAGAATCTGCAGCACATTCCCAGATCGTTATCCCGAATATTCATGCCCCAGCCCCTCTTCTGGAAGCTGTCCTTTGCTTTCTGTCTGTCCTGGCTCTCTCTCCAGCCCAAGCAGGGACTGCAGCTCCCATCACAACGCTGGAGCCACCTCACCCTCCCTTCCCAGGAACCAGGAACGTGTCTGCAACACTTTGATGGTGCCTGCAGTGATGCTCCGAGGCAACAGCCTCGGACTCAGCCACACCCAGCACTGGAGAGTGATGCTGTGACACCAGGGGACAGTGCCACGAGCTGTTCCACTGCTGTGACGGGGAGGCAGCTCTGCCTTGGGGCACGCTCCAGATTTTCACTGAAATAAGGGATGTTTTCACACCCAGGGCTTGGGATTCACCTAGGGATTGCCAACCACCAGCATTACAGAGTAAGCAACACCTCACCCCACCTCTTGTCCACTTCCAGCCCACTGGAGGCAGCTCTGCCTTGGGGCACACTGAAGCTTTTCACTAAAATAAGGGATATTTTCATACCCAGGGGTTGCCTGCCACCAGCATTACGGGGTGAACAACATCTCACCCCAGCTCCTGTCCACTGCACCGGAGGCAGCTCTGCCTTGGGGCATGCTCCAGATTTTCACTGAAATAAGGGATATTTTCATACCCAGGAATTGCCAACCACCAGCATTTTGGGTAAAAAGCACCTCACCTCAGCTCCTGTCCCCTTCCAGCCCAGCGGAGGCAGCTCTGCCTTGTGGCACACTGCAGCTTTTCACTGAAATAAGGGATAGTTTCATACCCAGGAATTGCCAACCACCAGCATTACAAGGTAAGAAACACCTCACCCCACCTCCTGTCCACTTCCAGCCCACCGGAGGCAGCTCTGCCTTGGGGCATGCTCCAGATTTTCACTGAAATAAGAGATATTTTCATACCCAGGGGTTGCCTGCCACCAGCATTACGGGGTAAACAACACCTCACCCCATGTCCTGTCTGCTTCCAGCCCACGGGGGCTCAGCCAGCACTGCCCAGGGGATGCTGCCCACTCATCCCACCCCATCCCAGCCCATCGAGGCGGGGCACAGCCTCACCAGCCTGGTTGGTGGTGATGTTGACCGAGGCGAACTGCGGCGAGAAGGGGCTCTGGTCGGTGACGCCGTTGACAGCCTGGATCTCGAAGGTGTACTGGGTGTGTGCCAGCAGGTCGCTGATGTAGATGCGGGGCTCGGTGAGGCCCAGCTGGCGCGGGGTGAACTGCACGTTGTCCCCGCAGCGCGTGCAGGCGCCGCGCCCCGCCCCGCAGCTCTTGCAGATGATGTTGTAAACCAAATCCTCACGGCCCCCCGAGTCCCGTGGGGGGCTCCACTCCAGCATCAGAGACGTCTCGTTCACGCTGGAGATCACAGCCTGAGGTGCTGATGGGATGGCTGTGGGGAGAACACAAGGAAGGGGTGAGACGGGAGAGAGGAGAGGAGAGGAGAGGAGAGGAGAGGAG